TAAATACGATCACAGATTGAAAGTCTTTCTTTATAAGAGCCTTTGAGAAAATGGCCTTCAAAAGCTATTACTTCGGATAACTTCGCACAAAAGTTTGAGATTTTGGCTGAAAAAAGTTGACTGACCGTTCGGTTCGACACTACGCTCGCAAGCTGACTTGTGTAATATAATGTCTTAATATTGCTCAAGTTTTCAGCATTGAAGGCCAGTCTTTGATTCATGAGTCATCAAAACAGAGTTCAAAGTCTGCTATCGGTTTGAAAACGCTAGCTGATCGCAAAGATAACATTGGCTCAAATGTTAGCAGTTCAAATAACTGAAAATCCATGACTCAGAATGTGGCCTTCAGTGTAGAAAAACTGTTCATTTTCATTATAAACTAGTTTCAAATGCTTGAAAGATAAAACACAATAAAAAGAAAGGCAAATATTTCAATTCCGTTTTTATTCATTATGCCGAATTAAGTTCAACCATCGAGGCAATTAAGAGCTTAACCAAACTGGGATGCCGGTTGCCTATATTGATTACTTTATCAACCATTGTTGAGATTCGGGGCATGAAAATTTAAATAGCTTCTTTACTTCTTTCCACTGAATTTGGGTTGAAACGCGAAGAAGCATTGCAGTTTGCAGTCTTCAGTACCTCTCACTAGTATGACTAGTGTTGGTGGCTGTTTAGCATGGTATACGTATAGTTATAGTACTTCTGTACTAGCTAGTACTACTAAGTTCTGATCCATCCATTGCGGTTACTGGGAAAAGGCGGAAGTTAGCTCGAATTTCTCTTCACGCACCAATTGAGCATCAGCCCTTTCTCTCTTTCAGCTCTGCCACTCACAGTGGCCGCATGATGCTGCCAATAATATTATACACAAATAAGGGCAAATTCAATACCGGGCTTTCCTCAATTTGCAAAACACATTGGATGGGTAGCCATATTCCTTCTTGCTTACCCGCACACACACACACACAAAGGGCACATTTAAACAAAATGGCCGCAGTAATTACCACACGGAAAGCAAACTAGAAAAAGGAAATGACAAAAAGAGCAATAACAACATGGCCCATTTGCTGATTGAGAGATCCAGGTCGAATCAACGAATCAAATTTCAAACAAACCCGATCAATCAGATATTATTACAGACCAGACTATGCTAAAAATCTCAAGCTAATTAGATAGTTAAGGGAAGGTAAAGTTGGATTTACTCAAATACAAAAAAAAAAATTTTCACGAGTTTATTCAAATTAAATTTATCTTTTAATGAAGAATTGAAGGGCGACCTTTTTCTCAATATCTCATATAATATTAAGATATCAAAAAATTATTCAAATACTTCAAGTCGGGTATGAAGTATTGAGTTTTCCAATTTTCAGCTGATCGTGCTTTGAGCTGTGTAAAAAAACAACTTCATCTAAGTGTGTAGATGACTTGGAGAGTCAAGGGAAAAGCGGTAAGCCCAGATCAAAGACAATATTTAATGAGTTTACCTTTACGTAAGCCGGCAAAAAAAGTCGCAATGCGACAACTGGCAACAAAAGACAACTCGCAATAAAAGACAACTCACAATAAGCATTAATAACAACTCGCAGCATACTCGCCGCTGCATTCGCTCCAACGTGTTGCGAGCTTGCCAACAGAGGGTAGGATTTTATACAAAAATTAGAGCTGGTTATCGCCGCATAGCGGCGACCTTAAACCGAAAATTTTCGGGTTATAAATTAATTTTCAAACTTTGCTACGAGCTGTCTTTTGTTGCAAGTTCTCACGGTACCAAAAAATATTATGTGAAGGTTCATGTATATTTTACAGCTACTTGTAACCCGGTACTTAATTGTGCGTGTTAAGGTGTTTAATGAATTTTCATAAAATTAGAAGTAACGACCACCGCTCTAATTCATAAAAAACACACCTTTCATAGCAGATTCTCTACCTGCACAAAAGAATTCATAAAAATGGTAAGCCTTATATTTTGTCAATGCTTTCAAAAGTTTGACTCTTTTCCACTACTTAACCGTAACATCGAACACTTTAATCGAAAAAAGAGATAACAAATTAAACCAAGACTTGGTTAACAACCAAAAAAAAACATTTCGAATAGAACAGGATGCGCCCATGCAAAAAAAACATAAAAATGCTGCTTAGATATGTCAACTGTTGACACAAATGATTCAGTGATTTTGTTAAACAAGTTCACTTCTTTTTTGTAAAAAAAAATTATGTTTCGAATCATATCACTTTCTAATTGCAAGCGTAAACTAATTTCAGTCAAAAACAACTGGAAATATTATCGTAAAAAGGCCAGGAAAATCAACTGCAGAGCAAATTAAGTAATTTATGCCAAGAAAAAATATTTTGTTGCTAAGCAACAAGCGCTGCTAGGTAGATCAAACATCCGAACTTACACATTAACTTTCATATTAATAAAAGCAATTTGACGCCATCAAATTTACTGAACGTATTTAAACTCAGAAAACAATTTGTTATAATATATTGCCTCGCCATATGTAGAATTACAATACGAGGCTACAATTGTGGGAAAACTACAAAACTTCAGAGTTATTTGTAGAAGCAAAAGGCTAAACCTAGAAAAAAGAAGGTCAGAGAGTAGACTCGAGTGAAAACCATTCGGACAATTAAAGGATTTTATGCAAAAAAAAACAAATTGGTCGCGCTGGATACATTTATTGTATTTTTTTTGCACGGTACTGTAAGAAACTAAACTTTTTTCAATTGAAAGATGCAGAGTAGCTGTAAAAAACAGCACTAAAGCTTTTTTAAAATGAGCTTGTCGAACAAATTACCGCCAAAAAAATTATTTTCGATGTGCAAAGAAAACAAACATTTGAAGAAAGCTCCTTAAACCAATCTGAGACACAGAAGCGTAGCGATACAACAATTGCGATACAACAAACATTAACCGTTTCAAGACAGTGAATAGAGAGGCAACTTAAGCAAAAAAATATATAGATCCACACCTTATTGAGCCGAAAACAAAACTGTTGACATAAAAAACGTTGATAAAAAAATTTCATGAGTTTTTACAGAATATCTTGTGCTGGAAAGCTTAAATTTCAAAAAGTTCGAAAATTTCACTCTACTAAAAAGGAGCCCTTTATCTCAGTTGTGGCACGTTAATTAGGGGAAATCCATTAAAATGAATCAAATCCTCCCCCATTAAAAGTTTCGAAGGTCGCAGAAGGTGGAGTAAGGTATAAAGAGACTAGGAAACTATTCAAGCACACAGACTAGTAGACGTTTTATTAAACTTCAACTACCGAAATTCATAGCAAAAAATGTACGGCCTGAAACTCTTTCAATTTCAAGAAAAATTTATGATTGAATCTTTTTTGATAAAAACTAACCCAATTTGATAGACATGGATCTATAGTTTTTTTTTACTCCGATGGAAAATCTGAAAATCAAAATCGATTTTCGACATTATTATGAGTCGATCACGTTTCTAGGGGCTTTACCGCTTTCGTAATTGGAGAGCGCACTTTGCCTATAATTCAACAGAAGAGCTTGAGTTGAACTCAATAAGAGCATATATTACCTAAGTGCATTCAACCAAGAGATAAATGGTCTACCATGAGCAATATCCTTCTTCACAATTTTTGTTATCTATAATTCATAAAAACTAAGACAAAAAATTACCAGAAAACATGCAGTGGAAAAACCAGTCATATATTTCAAAGTCTTTGTTGCTTCTAACAGATACTTTTGATGGTCATAAAAACATTTCGAAGAAACTCTCTTTGCAGTGCAGAAATTATTTTTAAAAGTTTTAAGAAAAACTATTGAACTATTGCCAACAGAAACTTGGAAAAGTTTCAATGAACGCAATGAACCATAACATACTGACAAGTTTTTTTCAAAAAAAATAACCTTAAAGCTCTTTAATATTCAAGAACAATTTATGATCGGCCCTTTTTGATGAAAATAACTCAATTCGAGAAACTAGAAATCGATCACGTTTTTTCGCGCTATTCATCTTTCTTAATAGTAGAGAAAACTTTGCCAGCCTTTTATGAAGTTGAATGGAGTTCAAAAAATGAACATATACCTAGGGTCATTCATAAATGCATTAATACGTATGAATGCACTATCTGTAATTATTACAGAATTTTGATGACTTTTCCTAAGAAACGAAAAAAAAATACGTTTGTACACTCTTAAAAATGGCATCAACGGAAAATGAACCGCCAAAAACTAGATCAAAAATTACCCAAAACCAATTCAACAAGCTTCAAGAAATCTATTTTTAAAATAAATTGCTGCCTGATTTACCTGCACCTATTTTCTACCTAAAAGCTAGTATTTTTTAAATTTTCAAGATTGTGAACATATCCGCTTTTGAGCTTAAAATTCAACAATCTTACTGAACTGATCACTCTGTGAACAAAGTCATTACGGGAAAAAATCTAGTACCAACATTCTTGCTGATCGCAAAGGCAAAAATAGGGTCGATAGATCATTGATCATTCCGTATCCGAATTTCGAAGAAAAAAATATATGGCAATGGAACTATTTGACTTTCAAGAAAAATTAATGGTTGACATTTTTTTCATAAATTAACTCAAATTGAGAAAATAATGTCAATAATTTCAATTCCACTGGGAAATCTAAAAATCAAAATCCATTTTGGCAACTAAAGGTCGATCACCTTTGTCGTGACCTTTGCACTTTGGCTGTTCGTGACCTATCGAATTTGGCTGTTTAAAAAGGAAATGAACTGAACTTAAAAAACATAGCCGACAGACAGGGGTGATACAATAATGGACGTCAAAATATATAAAGTTTTAAGAATACATGTAAAATTGTTTCACTTTTTGGCAAACTATTACGTTATTCTCTTATTTATGGCAACCAACTGCTGGGTCCTTCTTCGTCATTTGTACGTATAATGATGGATATAAATTACCTTAATTTAGCACAAATTTGACACTCTTTGCATATCTTATCATACATAATTTCTTTCGAAGTATTTCGAAATCACGTACTTGCTGTGGCATCCCAGAACTTGACTGATCCGTCGAGGTGTCCGGTGATGACCACTTCCGGGTATGCACTATGCAGAGGCTTCCAGTCCCCGCCCGAAACAGGCCATGGCTACAACACATATACACTATCTTAACACATATACGCACTATCCCTTCCAGTATTATCTGCTGACAAGTCATAAAATGAATTCGGTTGGAAAAAATGAACTCGCATTATAACGTAGCCATTTGCTTGTGTAATTAGTATTAATATGTTATTAGGATTGATTCAGCAATTCGGGTCAACAATATATTCAGACTCACTAGTTTGCTGCATGTGACAGATCTCTGCTTCTGTTTGAAGGACACTTGGTATAGCGCGGGTACCAGATCAGAGGGACAATCGGCCAAGTATTTCAGACAGGTGACGGGCGACTCGTGAATGTCCATGGGGTAGGGGTTCTCGAACGGTGGGTATCCCTCTGATACCAAGTCAAGGATGATCAGGTCGTTCTTTAGTAGACACATGACAGCTTGTGGTTCCTGGGATTCTGAATAACAAATCATTACTTAAGGTTTATCATTCAAAGGCTGAAACTAACAGTTCCCTCCCTCTATGGGCCCTAGTAACGTATTTTCCTAAGTAATTGGAATTTCATCATGGGCAAGAATAGGCGTGGAAACTTAGAAAGGAGACCCTAGAATTATTAAACAGAATAAGGGCTAAAAACTTCAAGTTCGTTTGTTTCTTTGAAAAAGTACCTGAAAGATATGGAGAGTCACATATCGTGACAAAGTCTAGGATGTAGTGATCCATCTCAAGCACTGTGACACTCTTGCCCTTCATAACTGTGAGACTGGGTGTGTGTTTGGAGGCGTTGAATGGAAGTCCGCCCGTGAACAGGAACATCGCCTCGCTATAGAAACACAACGAAATGTAGCCCACACACGATTTCAAACAAAATCATCATGTTAATGCAATTTTATGATACATGAACTCAAGTCTCGATGATGAACTGATCTCATTCGACTTTTATTCAGAACTCGTTTTTTTTTCAATTTGCACATGAAACGAACGTTACTTTTTAAGTCTGCCAAATCTAAATATTGAACTTCTATGAGACGCAGACACACATTTTTTCAGAAAACGCAAGATTTGCCGCTCAAAGTGCCAGCCACACAAAAGGTTCCAACTTAGAAAAACTTTGCGAAAAAATTAAAAGCCATAAAAAATATGTTCAAAAAATTTCCCGTTGTTTTTTGGTAGTTTTCTTGCGGAATTTTAAAAAATGAAGTTTTAAGACAAGTATTGATAGACTTATTTAGGTTACAACCAATGTTTAACCAGACAAGGAGACTTGGCTATTTTATTCCACTCCCCCAGCAGAAAATCATGATTGAAAAAATAGAAGTTTAAAACCTGCTAGTATTACTCGATCACCTGTGAAGTTTCGTAGAGATAACTATTAAAATCTCGTGGGAAAAGAAACCACCCCAGGCTTTGGTTTTATTCTAATCTTGAGAAGAATAAAAAATTGAAATATATCTTACCTAGATTTGGAGCATCGACAGTCGACTTTGCAAATTGGTAGACACATATTCGAAGATCCTTGCGAAGGTAAAGCTAAACATCATAGAAAATAAAAATTTCCAAAAAATAAATTTCAAACAATCGTTCTAACCAACAATTTCTCACCGTGTGGAGCAAAAATTTGTGACGGCTTTGATGAATTTTTGATGTTCCATGTTGCCAAAGACCCATCTTGTAACGCACATGTAAAACTTTTACCATCTGGGTGCCAACTACATGACTTCAGATTCGATTCACAGAAAAATCGCTGATCGGCTTCTTTGGCTTTTAAATCCCAGAGAGTTGCGAGACCACTTTCATAGCCTATTAGAAGTTTGTTTTCATCATCCGGACACTCGTTCATTTCTATAACTGGCCCTGGATGCGTATTTCTTTGAGCTCCAATTGCACGATTCCATTGTATTTGATATCCAGAGATGGTAAAAGAATCTACATTAACCACCAAAATATTTGCACGTTCGGTTCCAACGTAGAGATACTTGCTTCGCAGAGGCAATTTGATGGACGTGATCCTAAATTTAAAATCTTTTTTTAAATCATACCGGTCGTTCAACGATTTTTTTACAGGAAAATTGAGGAAGTAATAACCTTTCTCTGTTGAATTTGAGGGAATGAATAATTGCCGGTGACTTCAACTTCAGGTTCCACAAATGGACACTACTATCTTCCAGGACGCTGATAAGGCCTCCCTAGACGTGCCAAAAGACAATTAAATTAGAGAGCGCATAAAAAGACATCGGTTTGTTATACCAAACACAAACCTGGTTAACAACAAACTGCAACTTGGTCACGGCCACTTCTGAATCATGAGAAACGTATCCATCCACTCCGGGTTTTCCATACAACTTTATGCTTCCTGTTTTAGTCCCAATCGCCAAGATACTTTGGACAGGGTCAAAGGCAAGACAAGAAGGCAAGTGCGGAAAACCATGACGAACAGTCTAAATTAAAGCTTGGATTTATATCCAATATCACAAATTCGATCATTGTCTTGAAGTTTGATCTGAAGTGTTTTACCTTTTTGAGTTCAAAATTTGCTGATCCAAGAACCTCGGGAATTTCAATTTCATTTTTATTAACCGAAGAGCCACCACTGGATGCTTGGGAGGTTGAGAAGCCGTCAAAAACCTTTTGCTTGAATTTCTTCATTACTTGATCGATGCTATCTTTCAGAATTAAACATTTTATATCTTTTTTTGCTGGAAATCGGCTTTCAACCTTGATGTCAGAACGCTCTAAAAACACTCAATATATCAACAAAATTTGAAAACACTTCTTTTAAGCATCTATGACCAGCAAAAAATAGTACAGGCACGCACAAACGCACAACATAGAGAGAGGAAAAAAGAGATAGAGTGAAAAAGCAAAACAAAGTTTCCCGATATTGCCTCTACAGACCAACAATTATAACTTTACCAAACTCAATTTTAATAGTCACATGATAATACAGAGGCAAAGTGCATTCAAGTTGAGAAAGGAACTCTCAATGGGTAATCAGATCAAAAGTTATCATGGTGACCGAGGTTACACCACTCGTCCTTCAAGAAATTAACAATGTGACATTCGACGAGAAAGGTCAAAATGCAATTTCGCATTCGAACTTTTATTGGAACATCTAACCGAGAAGATTGATGGTTTTTATGAATTAGTGACGTTAATTGAACAATCAGACAAATCGGGAAGGGTTAGTTTTGACTGAAAAGCTATTTTTTAAAATTTCGATTTGGACGTGAACGACACACGTACCCTTTTATTATTTCGCACACACTGAAACTGCGGAATCAGGAGAGAATTCTCAGTGACAACAACAACGGAGAAACGACAGAAGATTGAGATTGTGGTTAGAAATTGTCAGAAACCACTCCGAGTTGTAACGATTGTGCCGGTACAATCGTTACTGAGCAGTTCAGGAGAACTAGGAAGGGTGTGGGGACGACGTGTCCAGCCTTCCGAGTAGAAAATAAGAGTGTTATTTCTCCAGATTCCAGAATCCGGAAGGGTCTCGGGAGAGAACTGTAACTCGTTATTTTAACAACTTTTACCTTCCCGGAATGTCTTGAGTTGAATTTAATTAATACCAAATTTGTTTTCAGATCATGAGAAGCTAGGAGTTAAGGGAAAGGGTTGACCCATCTTCGATGGAGATGATTTTTATCTACTGAACAAAACATAATAAATAAGTAATACAATAGTAATATAATAAATAAGTGGTAACCCTGTTTTTAGTAGTGACCTCGTGGTCTAGGGATACTGAGACCCAGCCATGAGCTCACTATTTTGCATAAAAATTAGTTAACTGGAGCGTTCTGATCGAAACCGGAAACAGTAACGTTTTTTGTCGACCCGATGTTAGAAAGACCACCCAAAAAACTGGCTTTGGCAGAGACGGTGAAAAACTTGTAGAGATGTTTTTAGACGCTAGCCAGTAGTTTTAGAACGCAGCTTTAATTTCCGTCGAAATGTACTTCCGTGCGAATGTAACATAGATGTTTTTATGGCGCTCCTGGGTGTTATTCCTTTTCATATCATGACCGGCAGAACCATTAATGAGCACTCCGCGCCGAGCGGATGCTCACATTAACGCCCTTAATAGGCCTAAACCGCCGGGGCCGAAGGGTAGTTTGGAACGCGGAAGCCTTCCGGATTCCCGTGAATAGTTTTTTAACCTAGTTAAGACCGAAAACTCAAGAATTAGGAAGGGTGGGAGGTTTCGCGGTCCCGTCAATTCCTGAGTGGTACGTGACCAAAACCACTTTACGATATACAGGAAACCAACCATAAAGTAGCGTAGTACCTATGAAAAAACAAAAAACAAATAAATAACCGAAAAAAAACCAAAAACAGTGAAAAAGTATAAAATCAGTGGAAATCAGTGAGAAAAACAGGGCACAGACCGGTTTTTAGGGTCAAAATAGCGATGTTTTGATCCCCCCACAAATCGCGATTTTTGAGATGTCGATATTTTTTGGAACAAGAAAAAGTGCAAAATTAGTGGGTTACATCGTAGCTGGACTAGTTTAACAGGTAGAACTGGTTGAGTTTAGATCAGAAAATGTTGGAGTTAATTGGGTACCAAAAACCGAATTTGCTTGATTTTTGAAAAAACGAAACGCTACGAATTAGGAAAAAATTTTTTCAATTTTTGAGTTAGGACAGTAAAAATTGTTGTTCGGACAACGTTAGCTATTGAATCGACAGATTTCAAAACCTGTTTGCCGATAACCTACCGGGTTACAGTGAAATCGAACATAACATGTTTGATTAAGTGGATTCATCAATCCCGAAGGGTCCAAGTAGCATTGTTTTTGGTAAATTTTTTTTTCAGCTTAAGCGTTTTAGATCGGGTCTTTTGCATTGAACTAGAAAAGTTTTGATTTTCGAAAAAAGACGTTTTGGTTATCAATTTTGGAACAACTGGACAGATCCAGTTGATCTTGGTACCATTAGATTAGAAATTTGGTGAGCTTACCCCAATTATTTGAAAAAATAAGCGTGAAAATTTTTTAAGATTTTTTTTAGCGAACTCACTATTCGGGAAGGTAGAACCTTCACGTTTTATAATTTTTTTTGGAAAGCCCTTATATCTCTACCAAAGGGTATTAACGGTCGAGTAAGGCAATTTTACGCTGTTTTAGACAAAACGGGAAGGCTAAGGAAACCAGAAAACCATAATCGAATCAAAATTAGGCTAGTTATAAGACCCTTCTCAGTGAAGGTGAATTGTCAAATAAGAGGCTTAGCTTCAATCCGGGAGGGTCTTGGGACAGAAAATACACCCTTCCTACTTAGTTCCTACAGCATAATAGCATCGCAGAATGTATCCGGAAGGGGTGAAAACTTGTAAAGTCCCGGAAAAGCTATTTTTGCCAATCCGGAGGGTTCCTGTTTTTGCCAATCCGGAGGGGTCCTATTTTTGCAATCCGGAGGGAGGGGTACTATTTTGTTAAAAATTAAGTGGACATAAGAAAGTAAATAGTAAAAGGTATTCGGTTATCAGGAGACAGGCTAGGAACCAGTGACTGCACTGGTAACTTGCCTTTTATAAAAGACCAGACTAAAACAAAACATGTCTAAGCCCGGATATTCGCGACACTAAGTCTAAATTTAACAATAGTTTGTAACTGATTTGAGTCGATTGAAATCAAAATCGTTTTGGGAAAAGTGATTGCCCTGAGGATTTCAGTAGGTCTAGCTCGGGCAATCCGAAGGCAGATAGGTAACACAGGACTCGGTGGGTGCAAAAGACGCCCACTTGAGAGAATTACTGCCCTCAGTTTTGTCTGTTTTGTGCAGCACCGAAAAGGAAAAGCTCTTTCTATAGAAACAAGTTCGACTTTTACATTGCGACTGACTTATTTGCAAAACAAATACGTTTTTCATTGAAAACATTTTTATTTTTCATCATTTTTGGTTTTAAAGCAATAATATCTGTTCTTGATTGGGTAGTGAGTACACTGTCTTTTAAATATATTGGTATAATCAGACCGCGCTAGCTTCATATCTTACAACAAATAATCGATCATTGTGAAGAGATTGTATACTGTGATAACGTACAAGGATTTGTGGTCACTATTTAAGTGAAACTGTTAGAATTTATTGTGTTGTGTTATTATTATTATCAGTAGTCAAACAACAAGGACACTAGCAATCAAATTGAGTGTAAAGGCAGTTAGAAGTGATAAATTGAAAATGAGTCTAGACAAGTCAAGGATACCTAGACTAAGTGATAGCTCCAGGAAATTCATACCAGAGAAACAAAGAACAGCAATGAAAGACCCTTTTGTGGAAAGGATCACACGAACCCGGACCGACAAAGGAAGAAAGTTTCAGGCAGAATGGTAGAAGCCAAGAGTCAAAAGTCCTAAGAAGGACAAAAGGCAATGTTGGAAGTAGAGGTCCATCCGGAACCTGGCATGGATGGGAATCGGGACGGACATGGACCTGGAGGGAGAGGAAACAGAAGATTGGCGGGTAAATCTTCTCCGGTAGAAATAGGCCAAGTTTTCGCAACTTCCATCGGGACTCTAGACCGAGAAGAGATGTAGGAACTGTCCGACATCTCTACTGAAAATGTGGCGACTACAAGATCACCCACAGACAACACTATGATGCATGGCATGACGGAGAATCCGGCAACGTCCTCCTCGAAAAAGTGAAGAACACATTGGGAAACTTCTTTCCATTTACCATGGGAACGTGTACAGGCGATGAAACAGAAACCCAGGAAGAAGAGGAGGACAATGACGAGCAAGATGACTTCGGATCTTAAGTCATGTTCAATAGTTCGACTCAGGAGAAATACGCATACGCCGATAGAGGGACTGGCCTCATGGACCAATTTGGTGTGGTGAGGGCAATGAGCAAGACCACAAAAGGATCAGGCCAGTCAGGAGACTTTGTGATCATGACGAATTCGGAGATGCGAACTGGGAAGATCAAAACACAGGGCTATGCAACCCACGTGCGGATACAGGAATGGATCATGAAGAGACGTTGAGGCAGAGAATTAAGATCCGAGTCTCGACCAACACCTGGCTACCTGGAACCGACAGGTTGACGCCGTCACTTGTGACGCCATTAGTGGATAACGGAGCATAAATCGAAGAAGCCTTGATTAACATAGTGGGCAGCATAGGAGAACAGAATGAACAGATGTCCTTAAGAATGAGTGAACTAGAATGGGCAGTCCACGTCGAGGGAGAAAACCTGCGGAAAGAGATCAACCGCAACAGACAACAAGTTAGCAGAAGCGAAAAGCGCTTGAAGGAGAGAACGGATGAACACTTAGCTGAAAACTTGTCGCGAATGACGAGGGAAGCTGAGCAGAGAGAGTTACGATTGAGAGATGACATGGAGAAGTTGAGAATTTAACAACAGCAGACTCTTGGGACTCTTGGCACGAAGATAGACGCGATGATGGAGAGGCGAACTCAGGCTATCTTGGATAGATTGGATGGGCTACTAGGCAGCAGGAGTGGATCGAAGATTGGGGGACCGAATTCGGGAGAACTCATTAGGGAGCCGAGAGTGAACTTCAATGAACAACCGAATAGGAGAAGGACGCATGGATCCACTAGAGGAAGAGGCAGTTCATCCAGCTATGCCACAGTGGACAATAGGCCACGGGGCCCAATCATCAGAGGAAGTTCAACTGGCAACAGACTGCCCTCAAACAAATGACCGACCCAAGATACACATGCGACTGGGAGATGTGACTATAGGAACTGGAGTC